ACACACATATCCACCGCCTTTACTGCACTTTTGCGATTGCCAATACAGACCTGACGGGAGCATTGGCGTTGGCGACATCTTCCATTGCAGCCCCAAACAAATAGCATCTTTGGGCAGTTCCTCAAATTGTCCTTGACCAGGCAACCAACCCTTAAAAAGAAATATTTCCATGTTTTAAGTTTTTCCTAAGTCTACCTTAGTGATCAAACTCGCATCATCGCAGAAAGTAAACCTAGCCTGATATCTCGATTAGATTAGGCAGAGTGAGGGCTCAAGCCAAAAGGCTCGTCAGTTGACTCGCAAGTGATTGATGTGGTAGGTTTATATTGGTACTCACAGAATTTTTTGAAGAAAATAAAATGTGAAATTTTAAATGAGAAGACAAATCTGATAGCGTTCGGGATGATGAAGTTTTAACAGTCATTTCTAAAATTTCAAGACGAAGATAAGCTCGGTGTGCGAGTCTACCATACAGAGTAATGTCAGAGTCGGCGAATAGGCAAGAGCCCGAGTCTGTTGTGCGAACGTCTGAATCCACGTACGTGAACAATTCCAGTGGAAATGAAAAAAAAAAGCCTTTTATGAGACTCTCCGCTTTTGATTAGGACTACTACAGAATATTAAAAGGACAATGTTTCGGGAGAATATAATGTATGGAGCCTTAATCGGACACTTGCCTCTATTCAGCTAGTTGATGTCATCGGTGATACTAAGGTTGACTCATTATTCAGGAAATGCGATGTGTAGGGCATGGTAGGGAAAATATAGAACCTTGCGACGTCAACTTTCATCTACAGAAATTCAAATACGGTCTTAGATTTGTGATAGTACCAACTTCATTCACCAGTACTGTTGTCCGTGTTAAAGCCGGATACTTTAACATCTCGCTGATTTGTGCACACGTCCGGCCAAAGCGGATGACGTTGCGTTCTAAGATTTTCTTCATGTCATGAACGGCTGGAGGGAAGCTACAAGCATTGCGCGTGCAACGATATTAAACCGTAATTGGAGATTTTAATGGCTGGTTGGTGAAGCCAACAGATCTTGGTGATCCGTCGGAAAAATAGACGACTTCTGCGACACGCCACTGTGGACCTCCCTTCGATCGGACGCGACGCGAGCTATTTGGGATTGTAAAGGAAGCTGAACAGGAAAAAGAGCACCAAAAGCTTTTCAGAAAAGGGTAAAAAGGTGTTTCGAATTATCGAAAGAATACAACTTAATGCCTCCCGAAAGTCAAGTAGCTTTTAGACCACCGAAATGTTGCGAAACTACAAACTACAAAGCTTACTATCCCCATTGTGCGAATGCCAGGTCATAGAAGCATAAAAAATTGCTGCTTGGCAAATACAAGATAATTGAAATAACTCGACACATCTGCGACAAGAGATGGTCTGACGCACTAATTCGTCCAGGATGCAATCTACTTAGACAATTGGCCGGAATTATAGAAGGTCACCGCTTGATGGGAAGGCATACTACTGGCAGAATGGGCTTGAGGTGTTACATTTTTAGCATTTATTACCTGGAAACTCATCCTTGTGTCGTCGGTCCATT